CCAGGATGATAGCTTTCTGAGCCTCGTATTCTCAGCTGGGATGGTCAGAGAATGGGAAAAGTAGAGAGCTGTATTTGAGGAGTGTGGTCTGAGGTTTTTGAGTCAGGCGAACAGAGTGCAGCACAAAAAGTTCTATGCCATCTGGTATGGAAAGGATATGGGCTGGTCAGCACAGGAGGAATGGGAATGAGAAAAGTGAAGCATTTTAAAAAGCAATAATATCTCCATTATTTTTCTTATAGCAATGTTGTTATACAGTAAAGCTATATTCATTCCAAAACTCATTGGAAACCTTGAGGTAAAGATCTGTGGTTTTCATCTTTCTTGGTTTGGAGGTTACATACTTCTACAGGGCTTTAAAGAAAAAAAAAGAGGTACCAGAGGGAAATGAAGTTTTCAATCTATGTACTGAAAACTCATGAACGTTTAAACATTTTTAAAAGAATTTTGTCAAAGAGGTTCCGGAACTCCATTCCGGCGCATTCCCCCAGGAAAAAAAGCCCTGTACTTTTGATAAGATTGTGATTCCCTACCCCCAGCCTTCGTCTTCCTTTATGCTCTTCATAGCAGTTGACTGTCTCATTCTGGACATCTCTCTTCTGAACTTCTCCAACCTTTTGAACTTCTCCAGTCTTGACCCTCCATAATCCAGCAGTCTGCTGTCAGACTTCTCTTCCTAACTGTTCTTATGACATGAGGCTCTTTCTTCAAACCCTACTCACTACAGTTAAGTATTAACTCAGTGTGTGAAACTGGGTTCTGAAACTGGTTTGCTAAGCTTTGTTTAAGTGTGCTTTGTTTACTGTACTGTTACGCTATTGCTCACATTTAGAAGGATAAAAAGAAGGAGAGGGAAGTGTGTAAAGTGGAGATTCGATTTTGCTCTCTGAACCATGATTAAATAGTGATTTCCCAAAAGTTTCTCCCCCCCCCCATTTCCACTTTGGGTCAGAACACTAGTGGCTAACCTTGGATCTTGGGGAGCCACACTTGAATGGACTCTCTATTGTGGACTGGAATGAGACTTTGTAGCACAGCTTCAATGTCCTTTCATGGTGCCGTATTTCCTAATGGTATCTCCCTGCCTGCTTTTTGCTTCTGAACTTGGGAACCTGGGCATGAGCTTTTGTTTGGATGAGGAAGGGGAATTAACTACTCACCATTGCCATTAACCTCCACTTTATTCCTGCTTGTCATCATTACACCAAATCTTTTAATTCCATAGTTGTGCAAAATTACACAGTGCTTGAACCCTCTCTGTAAACTAGCATTTACGCTTCTGTTTTTGCGTTCAGATAGCTTCAGTAAATTTACTAATACATGGTCTGATGGAGTGTATTTGGAATCGAACCAAAGAAGAACTCAAGGTGTGTTGCATATGTGTTTCTTTAGATTATTAACTGCCACCATCACTACCACCTTATTCTGAATTATGCAATAGATTGTTTTTTCTGTACTTTTTTATTAGGCAAAGAAAATAATATATAAAATTGTACAGAGTCTAGAAACTTCGTCTCCTAGTGTTCAATGAGCAGTATCCCATTTCTCACAAATACGCTTGATTCTACTTTCCTTCTCTTTTATAATGTCAGTTCAGTTAACATTGCTGCCTTTCAAATCTATTTATGCCAACCCCTGAGAGATCGTGATTTCTTTGATTTCCATGAGAGCCAGTTTGGTGTAGTGGTTAAATGTGTGTACTCTAATCTGGGATAACCGGGTTTGATTCCCTAGTCCTCCTCCTGCAGCTGCTGGATGATCTTGGGCAAGCCATAGTTCTGTCAGAGCTGTTCTCTCAAGGACAGTTCTCTCAGAGCTCTCTCAGCCCCACCTACCTCACAGGGTGTCTGTTGTGGGGAGGGGAAGGGAAAGGAGTTTGTAAGCTGCTCTGAGACTCTGAGTGAAGGGTGGGGTATAAATCCAATCTCCACCTCTTCTTCTTCCTTCTCATGCTGCTGCTGGACTCATTCTACCCACCATCACTAAAGCCGTAACCATTGCTATATCATTGGACCCTGTATGATTCTTTACGAAACCCCAGTTGTAATGCTTCAGCAGGTCTGTTCCCAAAAGGAAATGATTTTTGGACAGTTCCCGAATATGGGGAGAGGCTGGGGCTCAGTGGTAGAGTATCTTCTTGGCATTCAGAAGGTCCCAGGTTCAATCCCCAGCTTCTCCAGTTAAAAAGATCAGATAACAGATGATGTGAAAGACCTCTGCCTGAGACCCTGGAGAACCGCTGCCAGTCTGAGTAGACAACACTGACCTTGATAGGCCAATAATCTGATTCAGTCTAAGGCAGGTTCATGTGTTCATATGTAACATAACTGCAATTTTGGGTTGACAGCACCAGTAGTTTGCTGTATCTAGGTCATAAATATATTTCAGCCATAAAGGTGTCTGATACCATCTCCACTGGAATTTTTAATAACATTTTTAATATAGATATTATTATTCTTAATATCCCCATCCGTTCTCATTCTTGTTTTGTGATAGCACATCCCATATTGTTTGGATTTAGTGCATGCAAACTTATTAGAACAAAGTTTGAGTCCAGTGGCATCTTTAAGACCAATAAAACTTTGTTGGTATTAAAGGTGCCACTGGACTCAAACGTCGTTCTGCTGCTTCAGACCAACACGGCTACCCCACCTAAATAAACTAATCAGAACTGCATTTTTTATAAAAAATGGCACTAAATTGTTACAGTAGCTACAGTTGAAGAGCCATTTATAGTTTCCTTTAAGTATTAGGATAACAGTTTTCCAGAGTTCAGTAAAAAGACCCTTGAATCATTTCTCTGGGGCCTTGTTTGTCTGTTCCATTTCTTACCAAAGGAATAAAATAGGCAACACCGTCACTTATTGGAGCAACAAACTTTGTAAGGTAGTGTTCAGGTTCATAGGCATGTTGAAGAGTTGAGACCAGTGGTGCCCCCGATCTTGTGTGTTGGCTGTTCAGGTCAAAGTGAGCCATACCTGTCTGCTGCTGTACTTAACACGTCTCATTAGAGAGTGCCCTCTTGTTTCTACTGTCTGTATGCTGAATCCAAGGGAACATGGGCAGAGGACAAGGCGATGGGTCAGATCCAGACTAAATTTCCCAAATGGCAGAAGGGACCTCCCCCCCTGCAGCCCATTGATCTCTACAAAACGCTGCTTCTGGCAGATGGGGGCCCTGAGGAATGACATTTGGGGGGGGGATTGGCAATTTAGTCTGGATCCAACCCAATGTTGTTGATGGCTTGCCACACAGCTGATCCAGCTGTTGCTTCCCATTCCCTTGCCAATCTGCCTCTTCCATGTGAGATAATCAAGTTGTTTTATGTGGAGTTTAGTTATTTTATTGTAATTTTAATTGTGGGTGGGGGTTTTTTGTTAGCCACTTCAAGAAGGTCTTTGCTCATGAGAAGCAGAATTTAAATTCTTTAAATAAATGATGGGACAAACTTTAGAGGTTAATCAGTTTGCAAGATGAGAGCTCCCCCCCACTCAAAGTACTTCAAAACATTGCTTACCCAGCTTGTAACGAAGAGTAGTTGATACAACAAATATTTTTACTTGTTTTTGTTTTTTTAAGTTGGTATTACTTTGTTGTTTGCCCCACTTTCCTTTCTTTCAGTGGGGTCAGAAAGGGATTGTGCATGAGATCATCTCATTTTATCCTCTGAGCAATCCTCAAAAACTGGGTTATGAGTGTTCCCTCTAAGCTGAGTTAGTGTGAGCTAGCTCACAGTTTTTTAGCCTCCAGCTCACAGATTTTTGTCTCAGCTCAGGAAGGATGGCTCCGGAGCAAACTAATTTATGCAGTGGACAAATCGCTTGCTGACAACTTCAATGCCAGTAGCTCACAAAGAAGAATTTTTGCTCACAAGACTCCAGAGCTTAGAGGGAGCATTGGTTATGACTGAGAGAGAAGGTGAAGGCCCAGTGCAGATGAAACCATATCCAGGGTTAAGGGATTGAGTCAAGGGATTCAGATACTGCCTCCTGCCGCCGCCTCCTCCCCCCCCCCCCCCCCCCGGACCTGTTTTTGTTTCTCTGTCTGACCATTATGAACCCTGGCTGCTATGAAGCTGGGACTGTGCCCACGCTCACCTCCTGGGTCCAGATTGCGTCTATGACATCTGAGCCGCCTACCTTTAAAGGCAGCAGTGCAGCTGACTCACCCTGCCTCCCATTTTGAGGGGCTGTTTCCTGCCTTGGGAATGGGGCTGGTTATCCATCCAAAATAAAGAAATGTTTAAGATGAAGGTATGTGGCAAAACACAAATGAATGTATTTTCGTGCATCCACAAGGCTGATGGCTGCCTGCCTCCCTGAGTTCAGGAATCAATAGAGTGGGGAGAGCAGGCCGTGTAAAATAAATTAGAGGTTTTTAGGCCTTGCCCAGGCAATTGGCTGGCAGCATTAAAGTCTTCCAAAATAATGTGATATATAAAAATACAGAGGAAACAGAAATAAAATAGCTTTGGAATTGAGGCTTTTGTCACACGTTGGGAGGATAAGGGACTATCGGCAATTGTTTCCCAAGCACTTCAGCCATTCAGTCTCCTTGCACCTTTGTGAATATCTGCATGCTTTAAGTGCTGTGGCTGTCCATGACTTGGGTCTTTGGGTGTACCTTTGCTGAATCATCTCTTTGCCTTTTTAAAAAACAGACAAGCACACTTAATCATTTCTCATCTATCTGACAAGTTTTCATCCAATTCTCCTCAAACGGAGTGGGAGAAGGAAGCCAATGCTGCACGCCAGAGATAAGAGAGTACTGAAGCAGGACACTTGGTTTGGAGTTCATGCACTTAAAAAAAAGATTAACGTATTTCATTTCCATACAAAACTTTACGGGCATCTCAGGGCTCCCCCCCCCCTTCAGTTGAAACAACCTTTCACTTGACATAGACTGGTGACCACATTGGGTTGCCCTTTAGCACAACTAGTGTGTCTGGATTTTAAACATTAAATTGACTTTCAGCTGAAACAGTGTTCTTCTTTCTCTAGGGATTCCTCAAAAATGAAAAAGATAATGCTTTGCTGTCTGCCATTGAAGAATCTAGGAAACGGGTAAGTTGGGGATGGGGGTGTGGAAGAAATCTTAACTGATGTCCTGTGAATGTATTTCATATGTATGTAAGTGCCATCAAGTCAACTGATTTATGGCAACTCCGGGCAAGGGGATTTCACTGCAGATGAGAAGCAGAGGTGGTGCGCCATTGTGTTCCTCTGCTGAGCCTTCCCTGGTGGCCTCCCTGGTGGCCAAAACAAAAACAAAACTGGGTTTGGTCAGCAGCTCAAAAATGGCTCTATTTTGAATGGAACAAGGCCCCATGATATTTGCTCCTGCTGCTACATCCCTGCTTCATGAGCCAAGATGTGAAGAAAGGTCTCCTTTGGGCCATTTTTACCCCAGACCAAAGAGCAGCTATGGTTTGGGCAGACTTTGCTGTTCATGCACCTCTGCCGTTCAGTTTCATTTGCCTGTATCTTGACTTGCTCAGGAGAAAGAGCGATCGAAGTGCATGAGAGGGGCTGTGGGAGCCTGTGTTCCAGTTCAAGAGTGCCCTTGGCTGTATCTCAGTGTGGAAGAAAGCAGCTGGGGAAACGATACTGGGAGAGTCATCCTTGGAAGGCGGAGCCGCGTGGGGGCCACATTGAGACAGCTGGGTGACTATTGCCAGTCTCTAGTTTAGGTTGCTGCCAGGATCCTGAGAAGTCAGGTGCTTATTTTTGTTACCAGGTTAGTTTTTTTCAGCCCCATGGCTAATGAGATTGTATTTATTACTGTATTTCATTTCTACCCCAGCTTTTATTTATTTTATTTCTACCCCAGAGGCAGTTTAGGAGAGAGCCAGTTTGGTGTAGTGGTTAAGAGTATGCACTCTTATCTGGGAGACTGGGTTTGATTCCCCACTGCTCTACATGCAGCTGCTGGAGTGACCTTGGGTCAGTCACAAGTTCTCTCAGGGCTGTTCTCTCAAGAGCAGTTCTCGAGAGAGAGCTCTCTCAGCCCCACCTGCCTCACAGGGTGTCTGTTGTGGGGAAGGGAAAGGCCGCTCTGAGACTACGAGTGAAGGGCGGGGTATAAATCCAATCTCTTCTCTCTTCTTCTTCATCCTCCTTAACAGAGGCTCAAAGAGCCTTATATTGTTCCCCTCTCTTCTATTTTATCCTCACAGCAACTCTGTGAGGTAGGTTAGGCTGACAGCGTATCACTGCCCCAGGCTTTCATGGCAGAGTGAAAATTTGAACCCAGGTCTTCCAGTTCTCTGCCCAACACTCTAACCACTCTGGCTGAAGTTAAAATACATGCCATCAAATAATACACTAACCTTTACAGTTCCCTTCTTACTCTGGTCACTATTTAGTATTGCCTTTATTGTTCTGAAAAGCTTGCGCTCAGTTAATAGCGGGAGCAGTTAGAGGTGCCGAGTGATGTTTGCTCTTGATCTCTGGGTGTGTCTTGGGGCCCTTTGTTTTCTGCACATACTTCTGTTTGTCTTAGACCTTTGCCATGGCTGAGGAGTATCATCGGGAATCAATGTTGGTCGAGTGGGAACAGGTGAAGCAACGGATCCTCCATACACTGCTGGCTTCTGGAGAAGATGCCCTGGATTTTACGCAGGAGAATGAGGTACCTTGGGGGTCTGTTGTGATTATGTTACCAGAAACACTGATTTGAACCAAACAGCTAAATTCTTTGGTTGCGGGCTTCTCAAATTAGCAAACTATGATCATGGTTGCATGTCTTTCACACTTTAAAAAATCTATATATTTATATTAATTCTGCTCCAAATCCTACACCAAGGACAGATGAATTCTGTAGCATTATAGCCATTTGTGTCCATTGAACAAATTTATATGAGCTCTCTTGTTTTGCATATAATGGAGAAAGGCTAGCTCTGCCTTGGGTGACTGGAAATCTTGTTGAGTTATCCCTCTGTCTTCTGTGATCATGCATTACCCACTGCACTTTTTCTTTTGTGTGTTTACATCTATAAGACCTAGAAACTAGCTGAGATTGTCAGGAAGTGGAGTCCTTTGCCCATTACCATGTTCTGCTCTTTTTCTCCACTTCCACAGAATCTCAGTGAACACAATTCCTGTTTGAGCTTGGAGTCCTTCCCACCTCCTTCTGATTTCCTCTAAAAGTATTTTTGGTGGTGTTGTTGTGGGATAAATTTATGAAGCTCTTTTATATCAGTTGTATTTATTGGCTAGGATGGGTATTGAGATTCGGAAATAACACAGGGTCTTCAGTGGGTTTCAGGGAATGCTGAAGTCTCTGAGAATCACAGAAACATTTTCTTTGTGGAGCGTTTCCCCTTTTGGAAGATGTCTTGCTGGCACCTTACTGTTGAAGTCCCAGCAGGCTACCTGGTTTTCCAGTAAGGGGAGGATGTTGATGAAATCCCCCTGAATCTAGCAAAAATCAGCAGAGCTTTGTAGACTCAGCCTCCAGTTGTGAGGGCTTTGGACTACTTCTGGGGTTTATATGAATGGCAGTTTAACCTTCCTTTGGAACATCAAATACCACGGTCTCTTCAGAACTGATAGTCAAGGCTTGTCTCCGCCATTAATTAGTGTGCTTGCCTGATCACAGGCGACAGGATTATCAAAGAGTGGGGGAGGGAAGTCCAGAAGGTTTGCTCAGGTTCCAAGAACGGGTTAACAGACGGAACGTGGCCTGTCATCTTGCAATCTCTGTTCTCTTCTTCAGAGCTTTCATAATGCCGGTGTGACACTGTGAGAGCATTAGAAATCCTTGATGTGTGCTGTTCCCAGCTTCGGAAGTCAAAGGCCTGGGAAGTTTTGAAGTGCATCTGCTGTGTTCAAAGCCTCCTGCTTCACTTTCCCATCCTGGGTTGCTCTTAAGCTTATTAGAGTGAAACTGCCTGTTCATGTGTGTGTGTGAGAGAGAGAGGCTCTCAGAGACAGTCACTCACCCTGGACAATATAATAAGAGTTTTAACTGATATTTCTCGATACACAGAATCAGTCAAAAGGCTGAGATCCAAACCCAGCAGGAAGCAGGTCAGCCAGGGAGCCAGTTTTCAAGCATTAGGCTAGTGGTAATACCGACCCGTTGCTTACAGAAGTAAGGCCAATTAATAGGCAATGCTTTATGGTTCAAATAAGCCAGCAAACAGATTCCCTCTTTGTGGAGGTTATTACAGCTCCCCGTCACCTAAAAGATGTGCTGTCTGGCAAAAAGGTGAAAATATGCTCTGGTGTGAACTTTGGGGTGTTCAGTTCAAGAGTCCAATTTAGAATAGATCCACCGCTCTGGGATTGTTTTTCTCCGCTGGTGGTTTCCTTCTGTGGTCACAGGGTTTGCATCAGTAGCAACTATGCAGCAAGGCTGCTCCATCATCATCCCATTCTCCGCAGGACTCTTTGAATCTCCCACATATCTTCTGAACTTCTGGATATGCTCAAGCCACGAAGCTGAGCCAAAATGGCAAGCCGGCTGGCAGCGTTCTACCTTTCCCCACCGTTCACAAAATGCTTCTGGCCAAACCCTTTGGAGAGTTGCCAAAACGTCTGCCGATGGTTTTTGTTGTTGTTGTTTAGGAACGTTTGAAGGAATTTTGGGCTTGATGAATAATGCATCTTCTGGTTGCCATTTGCAGCTAGTGAGGATAAATGCTCGTCTGTCAAAGGGCGCACTGGCACATCTGCATAGTAACTTTCTGTGCTGTCACTTTGTCACGAAAGCTGCACTGCACGAGGAAACTAAAGATGCATTTCCTCCTTGCTTAGAAGTCGAACAGCAGACCCCGCAGGCAGCATGCATCACAAACAGGCTGGTGCTTCTGAATTCCTTAAAAGTTTGTTTGAGGTTGTGTGCATAGTATAAAAGACAGTTGAGCTTTTATTAAACCTGGTCATTGGTCTCAAACGTCAAGATTCAGAGCCAAAACAATACATCTCATACCCCAGCAACTCTCTTTTCCTTTGTGTTCTGTGATGCCAAATGGATTGGTACCTTCTGTTTGGCTTAATTGTAGGGCCTGGTAGAATGAAATGACATTAAAATAAGAGCAGGTTTTTATAATTTAGTGAAAGTGAATGGAAGCCAGTAAAATCCACATAAGGGAGAGGAGTAACGTGGTCATGGCGGCAAGAGCAGAAAATAAGACACACAGCAGCATCCAGAACATAAAGGAGCTGGCACAGGTAGAATAAAGGAAAGCTATTGAGAAGACTATTGTGCTGGTGAAAATTAGAAATGAAAAAAGGCAGAAACAAATGTCAAGGAAAAGAGTGTGTTGTAGAAATATTAGGAGTTTGAGCTGGTGAAATTTAGTGTGTGTGTTTGTGTATGTGTGTGGGAGAGTCTTAAGAGAAGAGAAACTAAGTAGAATCAAAAGTAACCCAGATACGCTTAAAAGGAGATGAGTAAAGGTCAAGAGAAAAGGAGGAGGGTATGCTGGGAAGACCAAGAATTCAGGCTTGGCGAGGCGAAGTTTGAAATGATGCTGAGACATGCGGGATGAATTAGACAAGGAGAAATAACGAGGCTGAAGTTGGTTCCTTATTCCCAGTTCCTTATTCATTCCTTATTGGGCTCTTATTCACGAATTCATCCATAAAGTGAGGAGAGTTTGAAAGCTCTGAACCCCAAAATAAGATCTGGACCCCCAAACTTCCATACACTCCCGTGTTTAACGAACTCCCCCCTTTGAGAGGACATATGCTGTGTCGTGGTCCAAAGCATGGTTCTTGTGCCAGCTACTCCAAAGTGAGGCGCCCCCAGGACTATCACACAGTCAGATACTGGGGCCAAGCTGTACCCCAAAACAATATTTGGACCACCCCAAAGGACTCATTCCCATGCTTTGGAGACTGTCCCTTGCAAGATGACATACAGTGATGCCTGGTCCAAACACTGGTTCCGGAACCACAGGCTTCTATTTCAGGTGTATTTCAAAAAAAGATTTGAATAAGGAACTGGTTTGACTGTTTGCCCACCACATCCTGGAATAAGGTTTGGACTGCCACATCTCATACATCTTCATGTTCAGTGAACTCTCCCCTTCGAGGAGACATATGCTGTGTCCTGGTCCAAAGTGTGGTTCTTGTGCCAGCTGCTCCAAAGTGAGGTGCCCCCAGGGAAGTCACACAGGCAGACAGTGGGGCCTGGCTGCACCCCAAAACAATCTTTGGAACACCCCAACTGAAATATCCCCACGCTCTGAAGACTGTCCCCTGCAAGATGATATACAGTGAAGCCCGGTCCAAACACTGGTTCTGGTGCTACGAGCTTCTATTCAGAGTGCCTCCAAAGCCCTGTATTTCAAAGAAGATTTGAATAAGGAAGTGCCCTCTGTACCCAAAATAACATTGAGACCTACACACTTCATACGCCCACATGTTCAGTGGACTTTCCCCCTTGAGGAAACATATTCCGTGTACTGGTCCAAAGCACGGTTCTTGTGCCAGCTACTCCAAAGTATGGTGCCCCTAGGACAATCACACAGGCAGACACTGTGGCCAAGCTGCACCCCAAAACAATCTTTGAACCACCCCAACTGAAACATCCCCACGCTCTGAAGACTGTCCCCTGCAAGATGATATACAGTGAAGCCCGGTCCAAACACTGGTTCTGGTGCTACGAGCTTCTATTCAGAGTGCCTCCAAAGCCCTGTATTTCAAAGAAGATTTGAATAAGGAAGTGCCCCCTGCACCCAAAATGAGATTTAGACCTGCACACTTCATACACCCACATGTTCACCAGACTCTCCCCTTCACGGGAACATAGGCCGTGTACTGGTCCAAAGCGCAGCTCTTGTGCCAGCTGCTCCAAAGATGCGGTCCCCCAGGAAAATCACCACAGGCAGACACTGGGGCCAAGCTGCACCCCAAAACAATCTTTGGGCCACCCCAACTGACGCATCCCCACGCTCTGGAGACTGTCCCCTGCACGATGACATACAGTGATGCCCGGTCCAAACACTGGTTCTGATGCCACAAGACCCCAAGTCTTGTTGAGCCTACAGACACTTCTGGAATTATGAGAATGGAGTATAGGCAACCAAAAAATGGCTGCCTGAGGGATAATCACAGAATGGCAGCCACAGAGTGCTGCAGTCAATCTGAAAACATGGAGGGGGTTGCACCAGTGAGGTAAAGGGAAAGCCAGGATTATTATTATTTATTAAATTTATAATCCGCCCTCCACTGGAGGGCTCAGGGCGATGTACAACATAATTAAACATACACAGTTAAACAGCAAATAAAGATTAATAAGTAATTAAAAACAGATAAAACAGTAGAATTCTTCCAGATAAAACAATGGCGTACATATAACTCCAGTCCCTCCATAGTGTGGATCAGATCACAGACTGGGAGTGGTAGGCCAGATGGAAACATGGTTTAAAAAAGTTACTATCCTCAACTGTAGGCCTGGTGGAACATCTTCGTTTTGCTCTGCGGAACTGAGCAAGATCCAGCGTGGCATGGATGTTACTAGGTAGAGAGTTCCACCAGCCCAGGGCCAAGGCCAAAAAGGCCACGGCCCCAGTTGAGGACAGCCGGGCATCTTTTGGGCCAGGGATCACAAGTAAGTTTTGATCTTCTGAGAGTAAAGCTCTTCGGGGGACATATCGGGAAAGGTGGTTCCGTAGATACATTGGTCCCTGATCATTAGGGGCTTTAAAGGTCAGAAGCAATGTTCCCCCTAAGCTGTAGAGTCTTGTGAGCAAAAATTCTACTCTGAGCTAATGGCATTAAAGTTGTGAGTGAGAGATTTGGCTCCTGCATAAATTAGTTTGCTCTGGAGGCCATCCCTCCTGAGCTAAGATGAGCTGGAGGCTAAAAACCTGTGAGCTAGCTCACACTAACTCAGCTTAGAAGGAACACTGGTCAGAAGGTATATTGGTAAAGGAAGAACTCGTAGAGTCAGTTTTATCAGTGGAAAATGGAGCAAAGTCTTGATGAGAGAGAAAACAATGAATCAAACATGGAGAAATAAAGGTAGGATTCAGAGTTCAAATTCACTGGCTGTTTCTGTTGTCTGTCCGGTGAACCATGTAGCCACCAAGACGGGGGTACAGGGCTTCTGGCAGCAGTGGCAGAGCTGAGGAAGTTTAGGAAAGCCATTCTCCTCTTACAGATTTTAAGCTCCATTCCTTCCTTTGTTCTGCCTTACAGCCCTGTGGTGCTGAAGAATCTTGGTGGTTGATACTAATCTAATGTAGCATGATTTGTAGGTGAACATTTGAGTTTAATTACACTCAGTGTAATTGAATCCAGATTATGCGTTTATTAAAAGTGCCAACTCTTCTTCCTTCCTCATTAACTGGACTGCAACCCGTTAGCAATTTGAGGGTGGGAGAAGCATGCTGATTTAATTCCTGTTACAAAAAAACCCTGCAGGTATTTCTTTCAATACAATGCCCTCTTTTTTCCTTTTAAAAAAAAGAGGGTAAAAAACTGTTGGGAAGGTTACTGTACTTTAGGGACTGTGCCAAAGCCATAGGGCAGAGAGCCAGTTTGGTGTAGTGGTTAAGTGTCCGCACTCTAATCTGGGAGAACCGGGTTTGATTCCCCACTCCTCCACTTGCACCTGCCTGGATGACCTTGGGCAAGCCATAGTTCTGACAAGAGCTGTTCTTTCAAGGGCAGTTCTCTCAGAGCTCTCTCAGCCCCTCCTCCTCCTCCTCCTCCTCCTAGGGCTGCACCTCCCCATTGTAGTAATCCTTGTCCACTCTACAGCCTGTCTCACTGTGATGATGCTTATCCAAGGCCTGTAATATTTCCTGTTACCTTTCGGTGAGGTCAGGTCATCATGAAGTCACTATCAGTGTACAGTACATATTGAGTGCACCCCATGTCAGTGAGAAAATAAACCTTCACTATCCAAGGGGAATGGCTCTTTTGGTGGTATCCCCTCAAATTGTATCTCAGCTATTGGAGGGGCTACCAGTAAATGAAATAATTATAGCATGATATTGATGTTTTGAGGTCACTTTGGGAAGACTTTATAGGTACCCCAAACAGATTCCAAAATGGATATTTGGAACTGAAGGTGCTAGATCCTGAACAAGTCCCTCCCTTTGAGGCTAACCGGCTCTAGCTTATCGTAGTCCTGTGAAATCAGAATGATGAACCAGGAAGTGCCCTAGCTTAACATGTCAGGGTTCTGTTTGTTCCACTACCCTCTACAACAGTATCAGATACCTTATAGGAAGGCTCCAGAAAGCCTTAATACTGCTGGAATATCCTGTTCCCAGATAAAGTTATGGGACCCTTGAGCTCTGAAACTGATGCTAGAGGCTGGATCTATTCAGTCACATAAACTGCACTGCTGATTAGTTCAGAGATCCTGGCACTGACAAACTAGAGAATTAAACTGGGGAAGGCACACTGGCAAGAATTTCTCTTAGAAATTTAGCAGGAATCCTTCAGTTTCAAGAGATCTTTGCTAGGAGGCATTTATCCCTTAATTTCCACCCCCAGCACCTGCAACTTCCCCCCGAAAAAACCTAAATAGCAGTGTAGCTCTAAATGTGATTTCTATATTGTCATACTGTATCATGTTGTTTTTAAAACTCTTTAGAAACTGCAAATATTAGTTATGAGTTCAAAAAATGTGTTAGTCTAAGGCATTTTCACACATGCCAAATTACCCTCTTTCAGTGCACTTCAGCAATTGTTTGCAAGTGGATTTTGCCATTTCACACAGTAAAGTCCAGTTGCAAAGTGCACTGAAAGCAGGTTGAAAGTGCATCATTCTGTGTATGTAAAAGCTTAGTCAGAGGCAAATTTTGAGTATGTGTGTTTTGGGTTTTTTTGCAACCCCAGTATCCAAGGTCTTATGCCAGTTTTTCCACCCCCAAGGGCTCTTTTCACATTTGAAGGTCATCACTTTTGTTAGACAAAACTATTGTAGTTTTTCACACTGACAACTCACTTTGTAAATCGGTGCTCAGGATGCTGCTACAACAAAACGCACTGTTAAAATCCATTTAAAATCAGATTTTAAAAAATAGAACCAGGGAGAAGAGGAACAGATGCATTAAGGGAATGTGAAGTGGTTCCTCTAAAAAGCGCCTCCAGGCTCATTCTAAAGGTGAAGAATGAAGAACAACAACCGATACCTGCAGGGCTGGTGCATAACCGTAGAGAGGTTCCTCTTAGCAGCAGTCACAGCTCAGTTACATACTGTTCAGTGAGATCCCAGACAATGAGAAAAACATGTTAGTGTTGCATTTGTTACAGTTTTATAATCTCCCAACAGCCCAGTTACATTGGCGAGTTGGGGCCACCCGGCCGCAGTTCCTTGGACAACATTGAAATGGGTTACGCCCGACAAGTGAGTAAACTGGAATCTTTTCTGTTCCCACTGGATTATCCTAAACTCCCTAGTTGGACCACAGGCAGTTCTAGGTTTTGCTGTTTGTCAGGAGTGGATCTTGAGGTCTCTGTCAGTATCTGGGGTTGGGTTATATATTTAAATTGCTTAAACGCAATTCAAACAATACCTTTCAGCAGGGTGATCCAACCTTCCAGATTTCAAGGGCATTTGAAATTTCTTCAGGAATGCTTTTGTTACTCCTGGTGAGAAGGGTATTTTTCAAATGTATTAGGGTGTTCTTCATTTCATGGTGCGTCACCCTTTGGACAGTGTTAGTTAATGACCCTTCCACAAGTACAAGGGTGCCAAACAGTAGAGTCCGATCACGGGTGTGTCTAGTGAAGTATTGTCTACTGTGATTGGCAGTGACTCTCCAGGATGTAAGGCACAGAAAGATCTTGACCAAAAGCTGATTTCCTTTTTAACTGTGGAGAGGCCAGGGACTGACCCTCACACCTTCTGCATGCAAAGCAGATGATTTGCCATTGAGGCCCAGTCACTCAAACCTCTGTGCAAGGCTCACGTATCTGCCAGCGCTTGATTCCCTCTGCACTACCATTAGATCAATTTAGGATTTGCCATGTAGAGCAGCATGGAATACTAGATTGCTTCTGACCCTGGGGCCTGCCTGGAGCTGTGGAATAAATGTGAAGGAGCAATTTTACATTACTCTCTGTCCCCTGATGTGTCACTGCTGCAAGGCAGTGGAATTGGGAAGCTTGTGCTGGCTGGAGAACTCCCCCAAGGCCACCTGATCTGGAGGCTTGTTCAGATTTCGCTGTGTCTAGCAGCAAAGGGAGAGGGTTGATAGGGAAGAAGAAGAGGGGGGGGGGGCTGCACTTGGTGGTAGAAAGCTGCTTACTCTGAATATGTTTCAGATTTATATTTATAATGAGAAGATTGTGAACGGATATCTGCAGCCCAACTTGGTGGACCTTTGCGCTGCTGTGGCAGAACTGGATGATAAGGTACAGCTCACCAGTTAACATAAGGAGACAGCGCTGCTTCGGAATTCAGCTGAGATTAGCAGGTTGCTGACATAGGCTAAAATGAGCTGCTTTTTATATTTGCACACACGTACACCAGGAACTTTGGTTTACTTTACAGAAGGGGGGGGGCCTCAAAGTGACCAGCAGCTGCCTTATGTGCATCCATGTCTATCTGGGGCATTCCAAGGCTGTGTGGCCCTATTTTGCCAACAGAGACCCAATTTATTTATTTATTGGGGGGGGGTTGGGGGTTGCATTTTCTGTGTGTATTTGTGTGCCTGTGCCTGGAAGTCATGGCAACCTCTGGTGACTCCTACTGGGGCACAGAGGACATTCAGAGAGGTGACTTGATAACCTGCCCCCCCCTCCCGCCACTGGTATTTCAAAGAGGTCTCCCATCCAAATACTTGCCAGGGTCGGCCCTGCTTTGCTTCTGAAATCCAATGAGACCAAGGCCAGAGACGCAATTTATTAACTGATGTTCCATGTTTAAATTGGGAGCACTGTGAATTATGGAGCATCATGTAGTCCTAGCGAGTCATCCCTCAAGTCCAAAAGCAAGAAAGCGATGAATCCCAAATAAGGTTTTGGGCGGCTGCCGTGACTCTATGGCCCTCTCATTTCATGTGCTCCCAGGCTTAAAGAAACTCTTTCCAGTTCTTTGCAACTGGAGAAGGTGCCAAAACAGATTTCAGCCTGACATTGTGTAATGTTATCGTACTGTCAGGCTTTCCTCCAAAGAAACTTTACAATTGTAGTGTTACAAATTGACGGAAGGAGCTCTAATAGGATTTTCAACACCCTTGCAAGTCTGCACACCTTAGAATTCCCGAGGTGTAGCAGGCACAGTGTTGGTGGTGGGGCAATAAAACTGAGTTTGTAATGCGTTTGTGACCTAAAAGTAATAACAGTGGGCTAGCACAGTCAGCTGAATGTGCGGTGGTCATCGATGAGTGTGAACAGTTTGAGGAGGCTGCCTTTGTTTTAAAATGCTCCCAAGACTGTGAGTGTATCTTTTTCAGGACAGGATGGAATGGTAACTATTGTCTGTTTTATCACAACCGGGTTTATTTCTTAGAACATTTCTGACTTGTGGGTTATGGTGAAGCAAATGACCGACGTCCTGCTGGTTCCTGCTAGTGATGCGCTGAAAGTCCGGACAAGCATGGAAGTGCAGATGGAGTTCGTAAGGCAGGCTCTGCGCTACCTTGAGCAAAGGTATGAAGCTGGCTCCTGTGTGCCAGCCGAATAACTGGCATTCAGGAACTTCGGTTGGCTGTATCTCCAGCATGCGTGCTGCAAACTGGGCTCTCCCATCCATTCTGCCTTACCCGTAGGCACAGACCTACTTTCCATGCCAAGAATGATTTGTGCAACTCCCTCGAGCCTTTGAAACTGATGGAAGCCCCTAATCATTTCTGATCTATTCTGTGTACCTCGTCCCTTCAGACCCTGGAGCTGTATTTGCATGAGCAGTACTGGGTCGTTAGTTCAACACTATGGAAAAGCAGCCTTCAGAGTTGAATAGAAAGTACCCCCCCCCCCATTGCTCCTTAAAGTGGAAAAAGGGATAGAAAAACACATAAGCTGTGTGTGTGTGGGGGGGGGTTATAGGGTCTCATGGTCCCTTCCCCTTTCCTACTGTGACTTAGGCAGAGGAGATGTTGAATGCCACTGGCCTAATCTAGCAGTTCCCTTTTGGAGGCTTCTGGGTGGGTTTTCCTTCTGAGAAGGGAACAGTTTCGACAGCCTGTTCAGGGCGCAGGAAGGAAATCTCACCCTCCCCTTTCTCTACTACTTTGTTGATCTTGACCCCCCCAACCTATAATTTAGATTATGAAGAACTGCGAATCCTCAAAAGTGCTAATAAATGGTATGTCTTGTCCTAGATGCCCTTTGAGCCTTTCCGGCTATGAGAACTTTTGTATGTAGATGGTTTCCTCGCTTGCTGTCTGTAAACTTCCAAAGTTTCAATAACAGGTGCTCTTCAGTGGTTGGGGTGCCTGAACCTCTCAGGAAGAGGGGCCACAGCTCAGTGAAAGTGGGAAATACGGTTCAGTCTCAGGCATCTCCCATTTCAAGGTCCGTGGCTAGCAGGGATGGGAAAAGGGATTTCTCCTTGTGACCTTGGACTAGAGGGCCAGTAGTTTGACACATAATAAGGCAAGCCTACTGTGCTCAAATGTTGCATATCTGCAGAAGTTAGAGGCAGCAGATCAGACTTCGACCTTTGCCCACAGGGTCTGGAGTAGGAATTTCACCCTGTTTTAAATGGAGGCATTGCGTTGCGTTATGTTTTCAGTCACAGATACAAAGTTGGCTGCCGGTCTTGGAAATCTGATGTGCAGGAAGGCAGACAAAGAGATGCTCTGGTTTTTTGCTGCAGCCAGGCATCTGATTTTGAATGCTGCCAGTACTATAACCTGCTGCAGTATTGTGACAGAGTAATCTCACCCCCTGTAAAACCAAACAGGTAAAATATCCTTGAGGAGCAGAGCAGAAATAATCAGACCAATAGCAGTTCTGTTAAAACATACTATTCACATGCCAAATACTTGCATAAATAGATGTACAGGGGGACATAGAAGTACCTCCTCTTGCCACTGATTTAAGACCATTAGAGCTACTGCTTAAAAAGCCTTGCTGTTCCCCACCCAGTTTCCCTAGATAACAGTCCAGCCCCCAACATTTATTTAGTGATTGATATTTGTATCTCACCCTACCCTGCAAGTGTGGCTTAGGTTTCGGTTTTGTACTGGAAGAGCCATTCTCTGACTCATCTCTCGTTGAGCAGTGAATCAGTAACTGCTCTTGTGACAGAATGTGTGAGACTCACTGTTGATCAGCGATGGATGGTGTCTTGCAGTTACAAGAATTATACCTTGGTGACAGTCTTTGGAAATTTGCATCAAGCTCAGCTGGGAGGAGTACCTGGAACATACCAGTTAGTCCGCAGTTTCCTGAACATCAAACTCCCAGTGTCTGTCCCAGGACTCCAGGTATGTGCAGGCAGAATGCTTCAGCCATCAGTGCTTTTTATGTGTTGACCATTCCAATTATTTGATTGGCTTCCTGTGCTGAAATGGGAGTGGCGTGCCTTTGGGAAACCAGAGCTTGAGAAGGATTATTTATTTGAAGATTCTATTACAGCTCCTTCTAGACAGCACTGTGCCCAGTCTTGAAGTTAAAAAAGGTAGTCTGACCTTAATAGCTTGGATTTCACAATCTGTATAAATTAGGCAGATTTTAGTAATTTCTCTTTGCATAGCGTGTTCAATTTACTTGCATAATGTATTTTCAGAGTATTATGCTAGTTATGGGTTGGGACAAAGAGCAGTGGCAGGACGTTGGAGCTCTGCTTCACAGGAAATTGATTGCAACCACCTTTCAGGAACGTCTGCAGGTTTGCCATAACGTAATGTATAGAAAGGCCTTGTACTTTCGTTCCTGAAGGAAGATGCAGATGAAGGTCAGAGGTGGTGCAACTAAGCTAATTCAGAATTCTTGGATGGTGTTTCAGGCTGAAACATCTTTCTCTGTCTTTTTAAAGGCTTTTTCTTTTTTCTTTTTTGGAAATCCACCTTAACCCTGACCTGGATAGCCTGATATCACCTGATCTTGGAAGCTAAGCAGGGTGGGCCATAGATAGTATTTGGATAGGATACCACAGAGGAATACCTGGTGTGCAAAAAAAACAAATTGTTTCTTCTCCCCCCCCCCCCCCGATTCAGGTATATTGGACCCGAAAAATATTGATATCCACGAATATTCCTGAATGCCAGTCTTGGTATTGTATTGGTATTTGGGTAAATATTCAGGAAACCCAAATTTATTTGGCTTCATTATACCTTATGGGAACCAACCTATGGGGAAATATGGTCCTGTGGTCCTGGAGGAAAAATTCAGTCTGCTAGGCAGGAGACTCAAGGCCAGGACCTCCAAGGCAGCCTTCTTAGAAGTGCTGCCTGTTCTGTGCTAGACAGGCACAAATTAGGAGTCTCAGTGCATGGATGAGATGATGGTGTAGGGAGGAAGGGTTTATATTTGTTAGGCCCTGGGATCCTTTTTGGAACAATCAGAGCCTGTACAAAAGAGACGGCTTCCATTTGTCCCGAGAAGGAACCAGGCTGCTGGTGCTTAAAATCAAAAAGGTGACAGAGCAGTTTTTAAACTAAATCCTGGGGGAAAGCTGACAGGAGATGAAATGTCTCTGGTTTGGGATGGCTCACCTCTAAGAGATGAAGGGGTGGTTGTTACTGTTCTAGAAGGTAATGGACTAGGACGGGCCACTGAGAGGGTGACAAACAGTATTGACTGCCTAACAAGGTCTAGAGGCCACAGGAGGAAAGTTGCAAGCCTAGCATAAAACTGATCATACACAGAATGGACACTAAGATGTAAGTTGTGTCAAATTTCCTTCTGACATAACAGCTCCTCAAGATGTAAAATATTTCCTTTGTCTGTGGATTTTCTTAGGTCCAATCTGAAATGCTCAGATTTCCAATGGAGTGCTCAGGTACAACTAGAAAAGAATCAGCTGTTTTTATTAAACTCAGATTGAATTATGATTACTGAGGAAGGCCAGGTGCCAAAATGTGTTTGGAACTGGTTCTTGCATATGGAGACAATATGTACTTTTAGGCCTGTATTTATGTAAATAGACATTTGTCTTTATATTGGGATTAGGTACTTGGATGCTGAATCACAGGATTGATGTTTTTAGATGATATTTTAGCACTCCTGAATGTATTATTAAATTATATACAATATTTTGTACATTCGCACTACATGCATAGTTACATTTTACTTTCTTTTTCTTTGTTCCAACCTTTTTGGTGACCTTTACCACCCACCCTCCTGACGGCACCTAGGTTTTAGCCACTGTGTGACACAGAGTGTTGGACTGGATGAGGTACTAGCCTGATCCAACATGGCTTCTCTTACATTCCTATGAACATGCAAAGAAAGTTCTGTCCCTGTAAAAAACCAGCATGCCAGGAGAAGGCTACATTCACATCTCTTTTCCCTGACTGCCCGTTTTCCATGGGACTTTTATTTTTTTTAATGGAAGAACAGTCATGTGAGCCCTTACCTACAGTCTGAAGCGCTGGAGCCCAGATGATGGATAACCACTGTAGTAAAAACTAGATGGCAGTGCGGGAAAAGCTCTGTGTTTCTTTCCCCTCCCCTGGCGCGCCTCTGGTTTTTATCTTTTGCCTGCTTTTCAGGATGGAGAGGTGGAAGGCCATCCAGTCTGGGCACTCATTTACTACTGCATACGCTGCGGGGACTTGATGGCAGCCTTGCAGGTGGTGAATCGCGCACAGCATCAGCTGGGAGAGTTCAAGACCTGGTTTCAGGAGTACATGCACAGCAAAGACAAAAGGTACTGGGCAGTCTCTGGAAGAGGCTGGGAGACTGAGGGGAGGGAGAGAGAGAGAAAGCAACTGGCTGCCAGTGTTCCCTCTAAGCTGTGGAGTCTTGTGAGCAAAAATTCTACTTTGTGAGTGACTGGCATTCAAGTTGTGAGCGAACAATTTGGCTTCTACATAAATTAGCTTGCTCTGGAGCCCTCCTTCCTGAGTGAAGACAAAAAGTTGTGAGCTGGAGGCTTAAAAACTGTGAGCTAGCTCACACTAACTCAGCTTAGAGGGAACACTGCTGGCTGCAGGAGACAATAGTTTTGCTGAGAATGTGCAACTCTGATGCCTTGTTGTACGCTCTTGCGAAGGCAGAGACTGACATTGGCCTTGCATGTGTTTTAAGTTCTATGCAATATGTTGAATTTGGGGCTGCAAAGCTGTGAGTCTTTCACAGAGGAAGAACTTACCGGAAACATACAGAATCTTCCCCATTGAAACCAATTTATTTAACATTTTTTCAAAAATTCACCCCACCATTCCAGTTTTAGTGTAAGGCTGCCACCTTTGATGGCTCAGGCATCAGACCTGTTCCACTGAAGCCACATGCTGAGGATGTTTTATTGGTGGGGGGGCAGTGGCCACAGTGTTGACATGGGGAATACTTTCACACCAATTTTTTTTGGCTTTATTGCACCCCGGAGACAGAGAGAATAGAGAGGGGTGATGAAGTATAACAAGTAAAACGCTGAGGCAAGTACAAGAGGGCATGTGAAGAGGAAGAAGCAGAGGAAAGCAAATCTGTGGTGCCCTGAAGAGCCCCTGATCTTGTAGATGCCGTATCAGGGACTGGCTACCACCCTGTCAATGCATGTCAAACTTTTAAGAGTCGTGCCTTTTGAACTCATGGCATGTGCCTGTTTGCAGATTCTGGAGAGCAGGGCTATTTTGGGGCAGGAACGCACAGGAACGGAGTTCCGGCTTGCTCCCAAGTTGGCCACGCCCAGCAGGAACTCATTAGCATAATAGGCCACACCCAACAGCAGGAACTCATTAGGATTGGCTACATTAGGAATGTGTGACCTAACATGCAAAGAAGTTCCTGCTCCAAAAAAAAGCCCTGGGTTTTGACAGCAAACAAGGTAAACAGAATAAGAGGCAAAAGGTGGGTGTGGCTGGATGACCACACTTCTGGTAACACAGGGGTGTGGCCTAATATGCTAATGCGCTGTGCTGTCATGGGTGTGGCCTAATATGCTAATGAGTTCCTGCTGTTGGGTATGGCCTATTATGCTAATGAGTTCCTGCTGGGCTTTTTCTACAAAAAAAGCCCTGCTGGAGAGCCACTGTCAGACTCCTGCAGCAATCAGTTCCCAACAGCTTTCATTCAAAGAAGTAAAGTTTATTGCAACGTAGAGTATGCAGATATCTTAACCATTTTGTGTTAGAGCTGAAGAAAAGTGTATGCAGAAAGCAGATATACATTATTCAAGGAGGCCCCCTGATGGCCCAAGGCCAATTAGGGATCAGGTAGAAGCCGCCAAAGTAACGGGCTACTTTTCCCAAGAGAAAGACTACACCAGGCACTGAAGGTCATACAGAGATAATAGAGACAGAGGAGACACAGCAGAAATGAAACTTAACATTCCGGAGTCACCCCCACTCCTATGGCAGCCAGGGCTTGAGAAAGGCCTAGCTGACAGCCACACCTATTGCTTTGCTCACTAGGGACTCCTGCCGGTGCTGAGTCCTCTGCAGCTAACAATGTCAGGGGGGACCAGGGTAAAAACCAGTACAGGGGGGTATGAAAATAGTAGTGCATGTACATTTCAGGGAAGCCGCTTGTGCTCAGCCTTGGTGGGGTGGGGCAGGCTGCTGCCTGGAGGAGGATAATGCTGGGAATTAGGAGGCTACAAGCATAGTGTTTTCCAGGCCTTCAATTTGATAACATGGCTTCCTTTGATTGCAGGTTATCTCCTGCCACTGAGAACAAGGTTCGCCTCCATTACAGACGAGCCTTGAGGAACAACACCGACCCTTACAAAAGAGCTGTTTACTGCATCATAGGCCGGTGCGATGTTGCTGATAATCACAGTGAAGTTGCTGATAAAACGGAAGATTATCTTTGGCTAAAGGTAATTCTGCTCAAATTTCCTAACTTTTCAGAGCTAATTTGTCTCATTTCTTTCTCTCCTTCCTTCAGCTGCAGTTTTGAACTTCTTAAGGTGCAGTCCCAATTGCTGTGCATTTAGATCCCCCCTATTAACTTTTAGGAGCTGCGGTGGCTCAAGTGGTTAAGACGCTGAACTGCAGGCTGTGGAAGGTCAGTAGTTCAGCGGTTCAAGACCCGGGTGCTGCAAGACAGGGTGAGCTCCTGTCTCTAGTTCCAGCTCCTGCCAACCTAGCAGTTCGAAAGCAAGAAATTGCAAGTAGATAAATAGGGACCACTTCGGTGGGAAGGTAACAGCGTTCCGTGCGCCTCGGTGTTTAGTCATGCCAGCCACATGACCATGGAAACGTCTTCGGACAGCGCTGGCTCTTCGGCTTTGAAACGGAGATGAGCACCGCAACCCTAGAGTCGGATTCAACTGGCTTTCGAGCAAGGGAACCTTTACCTTTACGTATTAACTTTTTTACTGGATATGATCAGCAAAGAGGAATCATACCTCACAGGGATCTTGCTGTGATCTTGCACATACAGACCAGTGGAGCCATTCCAGTCTCTGTACAGGCACCAGCACCTTCTGGTATGAAGCCAAGGGCACTAACGTGGGAGGGATCTAATTTGAACTAACATGTGCATCTGTAGTGATCGCCCAATACTTGTGAAGAGTGATGGTGGATGCAGCTAACAGTTTTCACTGCTGTAAACCCAAACTTCCTTTTTTCAGCTCATCCTGCATTGGGTTTGCATCGTTACTTGAATAAAATTGCTCTGTAGGTTTCTGGTAGAATTGCTCCAATTTTCTTTGCTCAAGTATCTATTTAAGAACAAACTGAGAAACTGAGGAATATGCTTTCCCCCAATAACATTCCCGCAAGATGGGTCTGAGTTATACCCATGCTACAAATGGGGAACTGAGTTTGATAGAGGCATCCCTATCCCCTAGATTAATGGCTGAAGTGGACTATCAGTTTCAGGTCCAGTTGTCCATTTTGTGGAGCACATCTTTAAAAAAAAAAGATTGTTCCGGGTGTTTTCATAACTTGTGGCAGACTTGGGTTGTTTTGCTGTCATGGGAACCAGTGTGGTGCAGTGGTTAGAGTGTTGGGCTAAGATCTGGGAAGACCAGGTTTGAATTCCTGCCCTGCCACGGAAGGCTGCTGGGGTGACGACCTTGGGCCAGTTGCACACTCTTGGCCTAACCTGCCTCACAGGGTTGTTGTGAGGATGATATGGAACAGAGGAGAACAATGTGAGCTGCTTTGGGCTCCCACTGGGGAAATAGGTGGGGTAGAAATGAAATAAATAAATGTGTTTCTCAAAGGGCATGGTGTTGGAAGCCTTCGTTGGGAAGGGAAAGCATCATTTCTAAAAGTTGCTTTCTTCATCTTGTGTATGTGTATATATATATAGCTGAACCAGGTGTGCTTTGATGTTGATGGCACCAATTCACCGCAGGACCGGCTCACTTTGTCTCAGTTCCAGAAGCAACTGCTTGAAGACTATGGTAAGTAAACCAAGGATGTGTTTGTGAGGACTCTTCTGGGTTTCATAGACATGTGTGACCTGCTGGCTTTTGTGAAGTGCGGCCAATGCTAAGACTTGTCCCAGCACGCTGAAAAGACCATACGATTTTAAAGGAATCCATTCATCAGATTTGATGCATCATATCAAAAGCAATGTTTACTTCACAAGATCAGCTAGGTTAACGGTGACTCTTGTATTGTGGGCTACTGCAAGTCTAATAATCTGACTGGCATATTTTTCAGTATTGCCTTTTTATAATGTGTGCAGTGAGGTTTGCTAAGGGACAGACATCCCTGCTTTAATTATGCTAATTTATTATTAGTAATAGTAGAAGTGATTAGAAGTAATTAATAGTAGCAGAAGTAATCTACTATACCTGTTTTAATTTATTATTGATCGGATGTATTTCTGCCCCATTTTTCAGCCACATTGGTTTCCAAAGACTCTTGCAATTAAAATCTGTCACATTCTGTATTAGAAGACTGTTGCTGAAATGCGCAGTTTTTTAAACATTCCCCCTACACAGTGTAAGAAGCTTCATCAAATACTGGCTCATTGCTTGGGACCTGGCAGAACCCTGAGACTGTTAGTTGGTAGAGAGGGAGGGGGGAGAGATACTGTCCTAATGTCCTCCTTTCTCTCCTCTGCTTTCCTAAGAGAGACTCAGGAGCTTTAAGACTCATCAGAACACAGATGCTTCATGTTTTGCTCACATTTGGCAGCATCTGCATCTTATGCCAAGCAGTACCTACAGTCACAAGAACCAGCCTGACAGATTTTTTTTCACCCCTTTGCTCTTGTGTGTTTCCTCAGGCGAGTCACACTTCGCAGTGAACCAGCAGCCGTTCCTCTACTTCCAAGTGTTGTTCCTGACAGCCCAGTTTGAGGCCGCTATCGCTTTCCTCTTCCGCACTGAGCGTTTGCGCTGTCACGCCATTCACGTTGCCTTGGTCCTGTTTGAGCTCAAGCTGCTCCTGAAATCTTCCGGGCAGAGCGCACAGCTTTGTGAGTCCCGCATTCCTTTCCCAACAGTGACCTGATTTGCCTCGTGCATCAAAGCCACCAGAGTGGCAGAGACGTGCAACTCAGGGCTTTGAAATAATCTATTAATGAGTCTGACTAGTGGTTTGATTGCAGACAAGAAAATAGAGCCTCCGTCACTCCAAAAGAGATAAATCTCCTTCACTTCCTCATCTTTACAGTCTCTTTCTTCTGGCTGGGGCACTACAGCTCCGTAGACTAGCAGCCAGTTCTGCTGACTTCTGAAGGGGTTTGTGGGGGGTATTTGCTTGACTGATTTGGAGAGTGTTTCAGTCTTGTGGATGTTTTGATGCCCATGTGGAAGCATGTCAGGATAAATGCAGTGCCCATCCTGGCTCGACCCCTGGCTTGGAATTTTTTTCTGAGAGGTCGTCAGTAGTGCAAGGAGGGTGGGCACGCACACATCATTCTGCAGCAGCTAGTTACCACATCACACAGTTTTGCAAATGTGCCATGTTATGCGTGGCATAAATATGCAGTTAAACAATAATTGCTGTAGCCATTTTGTTTGGCCAGACCTACAACACATCCACTCCAGTGTTCTTATTGCTGTAGCCATTTTGTTTGGCCAGACAACACATCCACTCCAGTGTTCTGTATTCAGTAGTGCTCAGCTAGATAACCCTCAGGAGCACATAAGTTCAGAGCATTTTCAGCATCTAGTGCATAGAGGTATCATACCTTTAAACATGGAGATTCCATGGCTGCCGTTGCTAAAAGCCATTCATAGAGCTGTCCTCTTTGTTTTGGAAAAAAGTCATCTAAAGCTAGTGATAGTTATCACATTGCAACAGACAAATAGGTCAGCAAGTAAGGAATGAAGGGGGGGGGTGTCACACAATGATTTCCCTGTCCATTTGATTTACTTGCATGAGATGTCAGAGAGAAGCAAGGTCTCTAGAGTGCAAAGATTCTCAGATTTTATGAGACTCTCTTGAGCTCTGGGGGAAATGCTTTTTGCAGTTCCCTCAGTCCAATGATCCTCCTTTGTTTCCCAGCAGTGAGGAATTGTGTCCAATCTGAATCTTAAGGTGAACAGGAAGGGGGGAAAGTCAAGTAATTATTCCCTTGGAAACCACAAGAAATTGGGCGGTGGGTTACTGATGGTCATCCATACAGCCACACTATTATGGCTGTGTCTGGGTGGGAGGGAGGGGAAGGACAGAGGAATTGTCATAGTTATAATTCACATGTCAAAGCCTGCATTGGGAAATCTGAACTGTGGAACTGCCGTTCTGAGCCCAAGCTATGGTTTTTCTTATTGTTTTTTTGTTTGTTTGTTTAGTTTTCTGTAATCACCAATCCAGATGGTCCAGAGAGATCCATAGCAGGCCATGTTAGTGGTGCCCACCAATACTCTCTCTGAGCTATGGAGTCTTGTGAGCAAAAATTCTACTTTGTGAGCTACTGGCATTAAAGTTGTGAGCAGGCAATTTGGTTACTGCAGAAATTAGTTTGCTCTGGAGCCATCCTTCCTGAGCTAAGGCAAAAAAGTGTGAGCCAGACATTAAAAAACTGTGAGCTCGCTCACACTAACTCAGCTTAGAGGGAACACTGGTGCCCTCCCCCCTAGGGATCCACAAATACTCTGTTTCTGAATATGGCAGAATGCTTCCGGCCACAAACAGACATGCCTTTATGCAACCTTTATATAAGGCCCTGTGCATAAAGTCTCCAGTCACTGAAAAAGCCCTTCAGAGGTACGAATGCTGTCTTGGATGTATAAAAGAAGCCTGCGTTTTTTTGAAACTTTAAAGCCTGTGGCCTGGTTTTGTCTCTCGCATTTTAGTGAGCCATGAGCCTGGTGACCCTCCTGGCATCAGGCGCCTGAATTTTGTTCGCCTTCTGATGCTTTACACCCGCAAGTTTGAGTCCACCGACCCCAGAGAAGCCCTGCAGTACTTCTATTTTCTCAGGTAAGTTCCTGCAGCTGCTACCGAGCTGAGCATTTTTTTGCTTTTGTTTGAATGGCCAGAAAGTGCAAGTCTGAAAGCTGCAATGCCCTCCCCCCTTCCCATTTTTCCAGGAATGAGAAGGACAGCCAGGGGGAGAACATGTTCTTGCGCTGCGTCAGCGAGCTAGTGATCGAGAGTCGAGAGGTAACACCAAAACGGCCGTGTGCCTTCCTTCCTTCCTTCTTTCCTTCTGCAGGATGCAATTCAGTCTGCTTTGGAGAAGCTAGCTAAAATACAGGTGTCCCTCAGCCCCGAAGCTGTGTGCAGGGGGAACCCCAGGCATCCTCAAGAGCTTCCCAGTCAAAAAAATTCACTAATGGTTGAACTAGTTTCCCCGAAAGGTGTCAATTCTGATCCAGACTTGCAGTGCGCAGCTCCCGGGGAAGAGAGTATAGAGCATGCTCACCCGAGGTGATCGGGTGTTGGATCCCCAAGCATCGAGAATAAATCCACGTTTTCAAAGAAAAGCAAAGTTTATTTCAAAGCGTTGAAGACATACTCAAACACGTTCTTTGTTAGAACTGGGGATGCACAGGTATGGCAAGCATAATAAAGGAAATTCAAACGGACACAGATCCAATGAACAACATTCCCGCTGGCGGGCTAAAGAAACAGTTGCGCGCCCAAACCATGAGAACCAGGCAGCACAGCAGACAAAACACAGGTGCAGTTTCTAAGCGATAATCAGTGGCAAGCATTACAGCATCCTCTCCTCCACTCCTCCAGTAGTTATCTTAGGCATTCCAGCAAAGAAGCAGAATAACAAGCCGGGTACAGCAGGGGAAGGTCATGTACACAGAGGTCATAGAAAACACAATGGCAGCATGCTGACAATCCCCCAGGAAGAGAGTTCCACCTATTAATCACTTGTTGAGTTAAGAAGGATTTCCTTTTGTCCTTCCTGAATCTACTGCCCATTCATTTCATCGTTGTGACCTTGAGTTCTAGTATTTGGGAGAGGGTGATGAAGTTCTCTATGTCAACCCTCTCCATCCTTTGCATAATTTCATAAACCTCAACTGTGCTCCCGACTTAGTTGTCTCTTTTCTAAATGAAAGAATGCCAGACTCACAGCCTTTCCTCATAGGGAAGGTGCTCCAACACCCTAATCATTTTGGTTGCCCCCAAAACATTATTCCAAATGAAGCCACCCTATAGAGTTATACATGGGCAATATAATATTAGATCTTTTATTTTCCATCCCTTTCCTAATAATCCATCAGGGAGTTTGTCTGTTCCAGTACTGTACAATGAAATTAACAAAAACGGGTTCACGGTAGATTAAACCACAAAAGAAGAATACTCACCATGATGAATAAAACCAAAAGTAGGCTGTGATCATACACACCTTTAGATCCGACATAGGTGCAAATGCCTGGTGGATCTAAAGGGAGTGATCAGACAGCAACAACTGGGAAGCATCCCGCAGTCATCAGCAACCAGTGCTGCTCTGCCACGGAAGTGGAGTTAAAAGACACCGGGGAAAGTCCAGTAGTAAACGGGTTGCTACGGGACATGGACAGAGGGACTTTCCCCTCTCTTTAGTTGCTGGGAAATATGTTGCTGTAGGTTTTCCGGGTTGTGTGGCCGTGGTCTTGGCATTGTAGAACCTGTATCACCTCAGAGGATGCAAGTCACAGTTACTGGTGAAACATCAGGTTCTACAATGCCAAGACCATGGCCACACAACCTGAAAAACCTACAGCAACTAATGAACTCTGGTCATGAAAACCTTAGACAACATATTTCCCAGGATGGTCTGATCAGGCCATTCCAACTCTGTACTGTTGTATTTGTTTTTGTTGTTCCCCTTCACAGTATGTGCATCATTGCATACTCCATAGGGGGCTCTCAGTGCAAAGGTGCGATTCCTCATTTATGAGCATGGGAAACAAACGGGAAAAAAGGAAGGAAGGAAGGAAGGAAGGAAGGAAGGAAGGAAGGAAGGAAGGAAGGAAGGAAGGAAGGAAG